GCGGGATCCCCCTGAAGTTGCTGGACGTCATGACCGGCCTGTACACTGGTACTGTGAGTGCTGTGCAGAGTGGAGGGGGAACCTCTGTGTTCTTCCCAGTTGATTCTGGGGTTCCCCAGGGGTGCGTTCTTGCTCCTACACTGTTCAATGCTTGTATGGACTGGGTGTTGGACAGGGTCGTGGGGTCCAGCGGCTGTGGGGCGTCCATTGGTGAAGAAAGATTTACTGATCTTGACTTTGCCGACGATGCTGTGATCTTAGCAGAGTCAAGGGAGGCTCTCATCGGGGCTCTCGAGAGACTGAGCAAGGAGTCTGAATGTCTGAGATTGCGGGTGTTCTGGATAAAGACCAAGATCTAGGCATTTAATGACTTCTTAGGCACAGCCATCAGTAGTGTGTTTGTCTGCGGGGAGAATGTTGGCCTTGTCGATAGAATTACCTACCTACCTTCTCCCTATGAAGTCAGCAGATGGATTGGAAGAGCATGGGAGGTCATGAGGTCACTGGAAAGGGGTGTGTGGCATTCCCGATATCTTTGCAAGAGGACAAAGGTCCAAGTCATTAGATTCTTGGTGCTCACTGTCTTGCTCTATGGCTGTGAGACATGGATGCTATCCAATGAACTGAGATGAAGACTGGACTCCTTTGGCACTGTGTCTTTTCGGAGAATCCTTGGGTACCACTGGTTTGACTTTGTGTTGAATGAGCAGTTGCTAGAGGAGTCCCGAATGAGGCACATTACCTGCATTGTGAGGGAGTGTCAGTTACAGCACTGCAGCCATGTGGCGCGTTTCCCTGAGGTTAATCCAGCTCATAGGATCCTCATTACTGAGGACCCAAGTGGCTGAACCAGACCAAGGTGGACGCCCACGTAACACCTGGCTGCGGCAGATGGATGGCCATTTCTGGAGGATGGGACAGGACCGTGTATCTGCCTGGTGGATCGCTGGCCAGGATCCCGAGGAGTTTAGCTGCGTGGTAGGTGCGGCAACGCGCTGCATCAGCGCATGTTCCCCAACCTGACCTGACCTCACCATCTTACAGAAGTAAGGGTTAGAATTCAAACAAGGCACTTCAAGCAGATTTGAGAAGAGTGGTTTCTAAGATAAGATAAACTTTATTTATCCCACAAGGGGAAATTTGGGTGCTACAGCAGCTAATAAAGAAAAGAAATAAGATACAGTAATTTACAATAATTTACAATTCTCAGTGCAGCCAATAATAAATTAAAAACAGAATAAAAACAACTAAAAGCAATACAGTAGGTTGTACTTGTACTTGCAATGAATTTGTAGTACACCAGTAAATAAGCTAGAATGTAAAAAGTATATGTACAGTGCAAAACTTCACAAGACTATACATTCAAGTTTACCTAGGATTATGATATTGCACATACCTATACTTACAATTGTTAGCAGGGTTTGCACATAGCTTGCAGGGTAATGCAATGTAGTGTTATGGTGAATCCTGGTTCTACTTAGAGCAGTGGCTGTTGTAGAGTCTGATGGCAGCAAGAATAAAGGACCTCTAGTAGCGTTCCTTCAGGCATCGTGAGTGCCACAGTCTGGCATTGAAGGAGCTACTCAGTTCCCCCAAGGTTTCCTGCAATGAGTGGTCAGGATTGCCCATTACAGCTGAGAGTTTACAGCTGGACCCTCATTTCCCCACCAGCTTAATGTAATCCAGGGGACACCCAAGTACCCAGCCTGCTTTCCTGATTAGCTTGCCCAGCCTAGCTAGTCTCAGCCTTGCATTAGCTGTGATAGCATCGTACATGTTTACATTAGCTGAATACATATATTTAGACAGTAAAAATACATTTAGACAATGATAGACAGTAACAGTAATTATTATTATATAATAAAATACGTTTAAAAATAAAGATTTCATATTCATTATTTTAATATTAATAATAAATCATTAATACGTTTAATTATAATAATATTGTTTTGCCCAGCGGGGACGGAACGGAGACAAAGGCGCAGAGGTCAGGCTATCGGGGAATACGGGGTTTAATTACAGGTAAGGCAGGCAAACCGCAGACGGACAATACAATGACCGGACTGGGGAAACAAACTGAAACCCGGACTAAATACAGAGGGCTAATGACAACAACCAGAAACAGCTGATCACATGGGGATTACACACGGGGTTAACGAGGGGGCGTGGCACACGGAAGGAGGGACAATCGGGGCAGGACACATTGTTTGGATACATTTATTTTCTTACTTTACAAATTACTGTTTTGATAAATGTGCTTAGATGTGTTTAGTACAGTATATGCTATTGTTTTATCCTGTTCATTTTGTGTTTCTAAATGCTAAAAAAAACATATTTAGGTGTATTCTTTTGGGGCCAGGAAACAATTAATTGGTTTTCCATTACCTCTTATGGGGAAAATTCGATCACAACTAGAACTTTTTAGGATTCGATCCGGAGTTCTGAACGGATTAAATTCGAGTTCTGAGGTACCACTTTATTAATTTGTGCGTGTGTAAGGGTTGTAGGGAGTGACAGCCATTTGTTTTCTGCGTGTACGGCGTTTTTGTCCCTGTTTTGTGGTTAGAGAGGGTTAGGATAGCGTTTGTCTTTTGTTTCATTTTTCTTTCGGGTTAGGGAAGATACGGTTGGTACGCGGGTAGCTAGTTCAATTGGTTTTGTTTATTGTTTTGGCCGGTGTCACTCCTGAAGCTCACCTTTCCCCCAAATACACATATTTTCTGTTACCACCAACGCCTTGGGTGTTAATTATTCCCCGACCTCCTTGTCCTCTACCTCCCGACTCCCCGTTCCCGATTTTCCCGACCCTTACCGCTGTTTACGCCCCGTCCCTAGACTGGGACGTAACAAATGGTATTGAAAGCACAGGACAAGTCAAAAAACATATCCCTCACTGTGCTCCAGGCTGTCTCCAAATGTATGAGCGCTCTTTGTAGTAGAAAGATGACTGCGTCCTCTACCTCAATATGCCCCTGTGAAGTGAATTGCAGGGGGTCCATTAACTGATTTACCAGAGATTGAAGGTGGGCAAGGATAATCCTCTCCAGGATTAGGCAAATAGTTACAGTTCATACTGAGCAAAGTTTCTCAAATATGGTATAAGTTGACTAGTGTAGGGTACAGCTTGTTGTACCCTACTACATTTTGGTGTGTCTCACATTGATTTTGTGGTGCATTATGTAGTAATTGAAGTTGAAAATTCGAACAGCACTACAAAATGGCCGACTCACTACATAGTGAACTATATGGATATTTCGAACGAAGCCTTTGACCCATCTGTCGCTAATTTCTCCGATGCAAAGCCAATGAGAGAGTAGCTGAATGTTACATGAGCCAATGTGAGCAGTGATGGAAATTTTCATATTCAGGGATAAGTACAGATGCCACACCAAAATGTTATTCAAGTAAAAGTCATTCAGTAAAATACTAAAGTAAAAGTTAAAAATACCTGGTTTTAAAGGTACTTAACTATAAAAAAAATAAAAAGTACTACACATTCAAATCTATTGATCTTACCAAAAGCAACCATTCCTTTTAAAAGTCAGGTTTGATTATTTCATCGTAAATTGAAGTGCATTACAATAAGGAAAACTGAATCAGAAGAGGATACACAGACATTTTCCTTTTATTCAGAAAAGGCAGTGAAACTTGCCAAGCATGCCGGTTCAGATATACATATATATTCTGTGGAAAAAGGTCTATGGGCGAGACTTCAAAATGAATTATAAACATTCTGCCAGACTGCACTTTTAGTTCTATAAGAATGTGGGCAAGGCTACTTTTGTGTTTTCTTTCAGTGGCATACCTGCTGTGTGCTTTGCATTTTGTATTTGCCTGGCCCAAATTCCAATTGCAAATGTGAGTTCTCTTTCAAATGAATTGTCCAACATGTCATGCTTCAAGCTGTTTTTCAGCTATAAAACCTATATAGGTCAGGCTCATTTCAATGTTACTTTACATTGGTATACCTGTTGTGCACTATGCATTTCATATTTGCTTGAGATGAACAAGACTTTGACATTCTAATTGGAATTGTGGTGTCTTATTCAAATGAATTACTCAGTGTGCCATGTTTCCTGCTATTTTTGAGGTATAAAAATAATCCGGGCCAGGCTCATTTTCGTGTGCCTTTACATTGGTGTATTGATACATTCCCAATAAGCTGGAACCTGAAAATTTCCAGTCTCCTACTTAAAATAGTTGGGCTTTTCCATCCATCTTTTGTAACTACTTGTCCTATTCAGGTTCGCGGGGGTCTGGAAGTCTTAATAAGATTTATCAAAGAGCAAAGAGAATAAAGTAATAACAAATAGAGTTATCCTGCTCACACGGTTAAGCCTGTTATCAACTCATCCTTCTTTTTGTCAATAACCATTGCTGCTTCATGTCACCCCTGCTTTATTCCATTAATGATCTTCCACTTCAGATGATTTACAAGCACAGCATGTACCCCAAACCCTACATTTTTAAATCAAGGGTAAACAGAGCACATGTCTGCAAGGTTTCAAAAAGATCCTCCAAAAACATTTTATAGCACTAACAGTATCAAGTATCAAAACTGGCATCACTATGCGCTGCTACAGCTTTGGTGTGATCAGTCTTAAAATTTGATCACTTCTAATTCTTCTCCCTTATAATGGCCCTACAAAGATTGAAAATGATTTGTCAAATACTGTTATTGTGCTAATGAAAAGTGACTATGGTCAGTGACTATGGTCTGGTCCTAAAACCTTACATATTCCCCACCTGGGGAATGGTAATAATTGTTTGATAACTTGATAACTGAATTTGATAACTTTAGATAAAAATTAGATAACTTGTTTTTTCGGTAATCAGAACCTACAGCCGATTTTGTTTTTCAGCCCTTACCAAAGCTGTGCACTTCTCAAATGACCTTCAAATGCCCCCAAATAGGAAGTTTTTGAAATAGGAACTTGAGTTACTAAACTATATAAATTCAGGCGTGACAGATGTGTAGCCAGCATGCAAGTCACATTGCATAAAAAAGCCATATTTTTCTTTTAATGCAAATAGTTTTATATTATACAAAAGCAAATGGATACTCTCACTATATCACACAAATAGCTTGTTAGTATGGCAAATTGAATTACATATTCAGTCTTTTAAAATTTACAAATTTAAATGACAATAAAACAAAAAATATATATAATATTTATAAATATTTTAGTTAACTTTACAACAGTTATATGTGACCAATAACAAAAAGCACTATTAAATAACTGGCATCACCCCTGTCATTTACAAGGATCCAGACAAACAGTGGTTAAATAAATCCAGCAAAGTGTTCCTTTCCAGTGAGTAAAATTAAAATGTCAAAACAATCAAGAATCCCTTTGTACAAAACTCTTTATACAATAAAAGCAACACAAGATATTTTTTTAACAGTTAAAAAGTTTTATACAACATCATTAGTTACCTAAGTCTGAGAATAAAAAGTGGATGTGTCTGAATAGTTTTACAGATGAGCTTTAGACTAAAACTCTGTCAATCCTGAGCCAGCATACAGAGATCTTAGGTTAAATAGCTGCCAGGACCATGAGCTGTGGGCCTCAGTGCTATTTTAGCAGCAAAACAGCATGGTGCTGAATTTGAAGTTACTTCACGGTACATGACTTTGACATTTTTACATTTAAATTCAGGCAAATTTATACATTTTTGTAACTGTTATACAAAGATTCTATTGGGGTAGGGGAAAAGATGAATAAAACAGCGTGTAAAAGATCCACCAATGTACTGTATTTCTAGCAAGCATTTTCTAATGAGTTGTAGTGTACAAAGATCAATACTCCAAACAAAAGGTATTGTCCAGTTTTTTCCCCCAATACAAATGCTGGTTTCCTCAGAAGAACAACTTAATTTGTCCTTTTTATTGCTCTAAGAATCTAGGAATAAAGCTCTTGCAGTCCTAATATCACAATTTACTATCACAAAATCATTACAGAAACAGCTGTATTTTAATAACTAAACATTCCTGTGCAGGAGGGAGATACGGTAAAAGCTTGGCACTTTACAGATGCACAGATGCATCATCAGGTCTGAATGATGTTTCAGCACAATGTAGCATATTTAACAATTTGATAAGAATATGACTGAGAATGTTTGGCACTTATACCTCATTAAAACTGCCCACCTTCCGCCATTAAAACTGCTAAAAAATAGCTGTTTTAAAGATATCTATTGCATTTTGGCATGTATTGAAAGAACTCAATATGCTCTTGAAAGGTTCTGGATAAACCCATATTTTGTTGGCACAAAGCCAAGTCAAATTTACAAATTAAAAACACTGCTCTTAAATTTTAGTATAGTAGTACTGTATTATGTGAGCATAATGTAGCGTAAACACCCTTAGTGGAAATAAGTAGGTCTTAACTGACTGAACAGCTCTGACCTTTGGCACTGACATAAATACAGATATCTATCTGTGATAAGTAATAACTACTGAATTGTTTAGAGTTTCCATTATTTTCACCATATTTTTACATCAACAAATCACTCATAAGTACAAAAAAGTTCATAAATAGAGTTTATAATCACAACACAGGTGACAGAGAATTTTGTTACTCAGTCCCAGAACAAATTAAAATCTTTCATTTAAAAGTTCACAATAAGGTGATCGTACACGAAGAGCACTCCAATAAGACTTTTTTCCTTAAAAAAATGCTTTTACGATGCTCTTCCTCTCAGTGTTCACTCACTCATTTTTTCCAAGGTGTTCATTGCCTTTTCAGTCTTTTGTGTGTGTGGGGGGGGGGGGACAGCAATGAGATGGAGAGCAGTACTGGGAGGGGATAGGTGGTGTTTGGCGTAGATGACAGCCTGCTGGGAGTGTTGGGTTTGTAATGGGAGGCGCTGCTCAGACTTCGCTCTCCGTGGAGGGCTTGCGGGGGGTGGCCCAGCCTGTGTCAGGCAGCGCCCCGTGCCGCTCAGGCGTGGCCATAGGGACAGTGTTGATGCTAGAGCACTCAGACTGCTCCTCCTGCAGTAGCTGCTCTGTTTCTGTGTCGTCCAGGGAGCCGCTGCTAGCTTGGAGCGACACAGTGTCTGTCTTCATGCATACATGGAGTCCGCCCCGCGAAGGCTTGATCTGCTTCAGGTCCTCCCAGTACAGCTCCTCGTTGGAAAGCAGGCAGATGCCCTCAACTATCTTAATCTTCTCCTTAGTATAGCTGTTATCATTGCCAACCTGTGTGGGGAAAGGTAGAAGCTCAGCCACAAACCGTACAGCAAACAAAAGCGTACTGTGCCCTTTAAGACACAGGATTTTTAAAAGTTAAAGAGTAAATATTTTCTAATCTCCAAGAATTCTGAACTAATTCACAGTTTTCCCGGCAAATCCACGAAAAGAGAAGATAATTTAGGCTTGTCTACTGCTTCTTATTTAAATGGTCATTCAAATCATGCATCCACAGAACTGAACTGCAGTGAGGCTTTTCAGCCAGTCCAAACAAAAAAAATGGACTGAAAAGAAATCGTCTTAGCAAATTCGCTTTTCACCCAAAAAAATTACCTGAAATTATTTGTAACAATAATTTAACATGAATGTCCATGCAATTTGGGGGGCATTAAATATAAACAGAAATCAAACAGAGACTAAAGGCACAATGTTATAAAACAAAGGAAAAGCACAGCACCTGTTCTCCTAGAAAGGACTGACAGACAGCATCATTAGTTTGTCACAAAACCCAGATCGCAGCTCAAGTATATGACATGTTAAAAGCACATGTAGCATGCAGTGAGAATAATGTGACATCTATATTCAAATTCTGAATTTAAACAGAGGATATTAGTATTTACAGGTGTAACTTCTTCATGCTATGGAACTACCTTTCATTGATTTTGTGGAAAACAGGTCAAAAGATAAAAGGTGAAAGCGAGTTGTAAGGATGGGAAAGCTGTAGTGAAGAAAAAAAGAAGATGAGCTTTTTGGAAACAGGAATTTTCAGAACAGGAATTTCCCCAGCTTGTACATACACCACTGTAAAAACATTTAATGTATCGATAAATTGAATTGTGAAATGTCTTTCCTTGATGAAATCAAACATAACTCATTGGCGTAGAATGATATGCAGAAAAAGAACACTTAAAAACTTCCATTCTCTTTTTAGGGCACATGTCAAACTGACAAATCAGAATGCTAACCATAATATGAAAAGATAGGAATACCTCTTTCTTATATCGCAGTTGGTTATAAATCTGAGGTTTTTGCACAGTTTCAATCTTCACTTCCTGTGTCGATGTTCTGTACGAGGGATTGCTGTAAGTCAGGTTGCTCACTCCAGAGTCAGCGTACTTGGATTTTTTATGCCTTTGGGGGAAGGGGGGCGGTGGAAAAAAAACACACATAATAATCAATAACACAGCCCAAGAGAAGATGGAGAAAACGAAGCATGGGTGCTTTCACCGGGCTACACCTACCTATAAATGATAAATGATGCTATTAAAATCAGGATGGCTAAGACGGTAAGTGCCCCTCCAATAACATAGCTGATGTGAAGACCTTCCCCTGGAAGTAACACAAACAACAAAAACTCAGTAATTTCTCAACTTTATTTGTTCAGTAACCCACTGTGACCAGCAGTAATTAAACTGTACCATCCGGGACTGTTATCACACTGCTCTTCACACATCTTCCTAGGCTCAAGTTCCTGTCCGTGCAGCTGTGTGACACACAAACAAAAATGTAAATAAACCCAACCAAATTTGCAGAAATGTGACATCATTTGTGTGCTCTGTAAAACCCCATTTCAGTGAAATACCTTAATGGAAAGTTAGTTATCCTTCTTTGTAATTCATTTTAGCACAACTCATAGAAAACCATTGTTTTTATCAGCAGAGCTTAAATATGCCATTAACTTACTTAACTACTGAAGGACTGGAGGTAAGTTTGTCTGTGGTTGAGGGCGTGCTTGTGACACTCTTGCCAGAAGATGTTGGGACATAACCTGAAACTAGATCAAATCAGCTTTTAATGGTTCGGGTCTGCTTGCTGACAGATCAAACCAAGACAAAATGTTTTTTTTTTCTCTTCCCTAAATCAGTGTGCCGTATGTCTTACTTACTGGTGGAACAGGGCCTGCTGTCCGGCTCATCTGGACATGCACAGACAAAGCTATTGGCTTTAGCGAAGCAGAGGTGTGTGCACCCTCCGTTATTCACGCCACAATGGTTGGTGCCTATATAAATATATAGCACTTTAGCTTTCAAGCTATAAATATCACCATACAGAGACAGCAGAGACCTCAGTTTGTAAACAGTTTGTTGCAGTTCATACCACAATGGCTTAAGAAATGGCTCTGGGACCAAGGGGTGTGGGACAAAGTGTTTTCCCAGGAACCAAGGAGATTTGCTCTTACCAGTCTGCCGGTGCTGTGACACCACAATGATGTCCATTAATCCCTCTACATTGGCCAGCACTGTCTCCTTGCTGCGGCCTGTATGCTTATCTACACGCTGAATGGACTTGGTTTGCCAGTCCGTCCAGTAAATCCAACGGTCTTGCTGCGAGAGTTGGAAGAGAGGGGTTAGTGCAGAAGTCACTGGCTTCAACTAGGAATGGAAAAATGAAAGACAGGAGGGAGCGGGAGGAAAAAAGGGAGACAGGAGAGAAGAAAAATAAGGGTCAGGAATGGAAGGATGCAGAAGGAATGGTAAGTTATTTATATGAAATGATGAAAATGATAGGTGAGTATTTAATGGGGAAAGTGAGTTAAGCTGACTGACTGGTACCTGTGTGAGGGCGAATGGGTGAGAAACAGGGCTGACCAGGATCTGCCGGAGCCTCCCATTCAGGTCCGAGCTTTCAATCCTGTCCAGGTGGGCGTCCACCCAGAAAATCCTACAGAGAAACACACAATGTCCAAATTATATATCGTGCCTCTGAATTCACACTTCATGAGAAGTTGCTGTTGCTATACATCAATCTGTTCTTATTCTCTTTCCTTTACTAAATGCTAATTCCAGAATGTAAGTTATTCAATAATGGTTCTGCACCATATCACAGTAAAATACTAAGTGACCTAGAGGTTAGGGGTGTAAAGATGCATCAATGCATTATGATTAATCAATAATTAAAGGGTCTGACAATTGTAGGTAATTGTACCTTTAAGTTACAGAAATGGAATGTGAGTAACATTTTTGTACCATTGGGGTACATTAATGTTGTTTGTACCTTGAGGATATTCCTCAGAGTCCATTTCTGTACCTTAAATTAGACTAAAAGGTACATTGACCTAGAGCTAGGATATAACTGGCAGAACCTTCAGGGTACAGCCCCAGTGACAAGCAAAGGTACAAATTGGTATTCTTTTTTCTGACAGCGTACTACAAGCTGTATCGTCCTACAGCCATCTCCATTCTCACCTCCGTGTGTCATAATCTAATGTCAATCCATTGGGCCAGCCGAGATCTGTGTCGATCAGAACCTTACGATCAGAACCATCCAGATGTGCTCTCTCAATCTTGGCAATGTGACCCCAGTCTGTCCAGAACAAGTACCTGGAAAACAATACACTAGGCTATGTAACATATTTATAATCTAGCAATTTAAAATCTAGATTAGGGGTTCCCAACTTTTTGATGATCACCGACTGCCATATGTTGTGCAACAATTTCCCAGACAGGGTAAAACTTGTCAACCTGGGGGAATACCGGTCATAGACCAGTACTGACGCACAAACCAGGGGTTGGCAACCCAATCTAAATGACCTACTATGTCTGTACTAGATAATCTTCGGTTAGTCTGTCTCTCAGAACATACTGTTATCTAAAGGGTCTATTCTCCCATGCGTGTATCGTGCACATTCTGCCTCTCACTTTTGCATTTTTCACTCTGCGATCTGGAAGGCTGTATTAAGTCACATACTGCAATACTGCAGTTTTCAGAAAGACAGACATGTTACAAAATGAAAATGGTTCTATTTATGATACATTTTGAAATAAATGTCACAATCCAAAAAGCAAGTGAATGATTACATAAACATATACATACACAAATTATATAACAATAATATATAGAAATATGTCACTATATATAAATATATTACCATTGGGCTAGTTTCAAGAGATGTTTGCCTTGTCAACGTGCCTAGAAGGTGAATCAATTACGCTAAACAACCGGTGGATTAAAAATAATTGTAAAAAAAACAGGTTTAACGTAAGTACTGTGACTTTTTTAACTAATTAAATCAAATAATTCATTGAGTTGATGGTGAAATTTAATAAATACATGGAATGGCTGAGGTGCCCCTGAAGTGGGGTTGGGAACTGAAGCGGTGTTCATCTAGCCATCCAACTAGATATCAGGAACTTTTTGGAGAACAGAAGAAACTCTTCGTGGTTTTTATTGTTATTCTTAATTTGCTTATGTTCTAATGATAAATTGTATTTTGTTCACAAAAGCAAAAGTGCACTTACTACCCAGATAAATAGCTTTAAACATTTGATTTGACTGCCTAAGACTTTTGAAACAATACTGTACTTCCAATGATGGACATTGCATTGCATGTTTCTAGGGGGATTGTGAAAGCAATCTTTCTGTGCTGCCTCAGGTTTGAACGGTACACATATTCGTACCGAACTTTTTCAGTACGGGTCTTTCGGTCCGGTACGCATATGTACCGAATTAATGCAGAAAATGCGGAGCCGTTGTGTGTTTGTGTGTTTCCCAGCAACATTCTGAAAGGAAGCTGCACCACTAAGCATGCGCGCATATGTCCGAATGTGAAGCTGGAAGTTGTTGATGTGAGTACAAGTACAGCACAGGTATTTTTAAAAATGCTGCACCGTGATGGATATATATTATATTTTTATTGATTTGAGAGAATATTTTTTGTGAATCAAATTTTCAAAAATAAAATAAATCAATTATTTTTTGTAGCTTAGATGCAACCAAGTTGAAAGATTAAAAAAAATAACAAAATCTAGTTTTTTTGTTATTCTCAAAGCTGCAGCTATAGTGTTTACTTTGGGAAATGGTTGAGGCATCATTAAATCAGAGCTACAAATGACAATTTTAATAATCGTAATGAGTTAAGGCAGGGATGGCCAATCTTATCCGCAAAGGGCTGGTGTGTATGTGGGTTTTCGCTGCAACTCCCTAATTAGATTACTAATTAGAGGACTGATTGGCTGAAGAGTCCTCACACCTGGGTTTGAACAGCTGACCTACAGGTTATCCCAAAAACCTGCATACACACCGGCCCTTTGCGGATAAGATTGCCCACCACTGAGTTAAGGTAATTTGCTCTGCACAAAATTCAAATGTTGTATTTCATTGTAACATTTTGTTATTGTTGAAGGATTGAAACATTCGTGAAAATGACCAAATATAAAGCATAGCAGGCTACCGCCATGCTTTCTTTTTTCAAAATAAGAGTTTCTGCAAATTTCAATTAAGTTCATAATGTAAATGAGATAGTCCTATTCCTTGTTTTGCTTGATGCCAGAATCATTGAAGGCGTAACCCCCATTTCTTTCTTAATAAATAAATTATGCTTCTTGCATGGCCACGCCTTCTTTTTCAGGTTAAGTGCAATGGGCGTGACTGCACTGACGGGGGGAGAAAATGCGTAACTCAAAAGCACGTAACTTTTTAAGCCCTTTTCGGACTTGCATGCCTAGTGGGAGAATAGACTCCTTAATTAATATATTCATATTCCTAATGCCTTATGCACAGTTTACAACTACGAAAATTAATATACATACATAACTATGAGGTTCCATACAGGGCAGTATATTACAGCTGAGCAGATTCAGACAATGGGGAGGTTTCTGTCTGTCTGTTCGCTCACTCACCCTTTGCTGGGAAACACAGTAATGGCTCGAGGTTCATCCAGGCTATTATTGATGAGCACCTTCCTCGAAGAACCATCCAGACGAGCGACCTCGATGGTGTTGCGGCCTGTATCTGTCCAGTACATGTTGCGAGCCACCCAGTCCACTGCCAGCCCATCAGTGGTCTTCAGACCCTGGCTGATGACCGTCTCCATACCACTGCCATTCAGGTTGGCACGCCTGAAGGCACCAGGATAATGGTTAGTGATTCAAAATCCATCCATGTATTTTCCAACCACTTACACTGGACACGGATACAGGTGGGTCTGAACCATATCCAAGGCAACACTGGGCACATGGAAGGATTATACCCTGGACAGGAAGCCAATTCACTGCAGGACACGTGCACACACACACACAAACACACACACTATAAGCAGTTTAAAGACATTCATTTGCCTAACTGCGTGTTTTTGGACTGCAGGAAGAAAGCAAAGGAATCCCAGCCCTGGAGGTATGAGGCAATAGTGGGAACCACCCAGTGAACCACTGCACCACCCATTATTCAAACAACTCTCTTATTCAAGCATAGAGAAATGATATTACTCATAGTTATTATTAAAACGCACTGTTTAGGGACAGATATACGAAAGTGAGTGCATATACAAAACAAAAAAAAAACAAAAAGCAGTTTGAAGAGAATTTTTTTTTGCCATACAACATGTTTTACTTAACACATGTTTTGCACATAGTGCTTCAATACACTGTGGTAAATGTGGAAGCATGTAGGGTAATATACAGAAACAGCAATACTCATTGTATCAGCTGTCAGGCTCTGATTTGTTATGTGTTTAGGCTACACAGAATTACTTGTAAGTAACGAATACCCTTTCGAGCTGCCATACCTGATGACATCCAGGGACACGTCAGTATAGTAGATCTTGCCCTCCACGCTGTCATAGTCCAGCGAGATGACATTGTGGAGCTCTGGCACGGGGACATGCACGTCCGTGTAGTCGCTGGTGTCCAGCGAGATGCGACGGATGCTGACACGGTTGGAGAACAGCAGGTAGGTCTCCGGGCTCTCGTCGCACGAGCGTCCATCAGCCTTCAGCACGATGCCCGTGGGGCAGGCACAGGAAGTGCCATTGGGATTGGGCAGGCACAGGTGGGTGCAGCCCCCGTTTCTCCTGCCACACTTATTGAAACCTGAGAGGAAAGTCAAATATCACAGTTAAATCCCTGAAACCAACCATTTACACGGAAACAGCAGATCCCATTGTACAGTACTGTGCATAAGTATTAGGCCACCGAAAAATATTATACCTTATTTAACTTTATGTTGCTGTACAACAATGTCTGTCAAAGTGTATTAGCTTAGCAGTTACTAAATTTCCCGGAGGAACCTTCCCGAGGGATTAATAAAGTACTTACTTACTTACTAAACTAACTAAAATCTCTTTGAAAATTACCGCCGTTTTTGCAGTAACCATTTAATATGAGCCATCCAAGAGTTCTTGTTCACTCAATTACTAGGATGCCATGTCGGGCAAATCAATACCCTATCAAATTATTTAACTAATTAAATTAATGAACTAAGTGCGCTGGTGGTGAAATTGAACAAATATGTGGAATGAGGTCCCTCAGAAGAGGTCAGCCAACTGTGTTCTTCTAGTTATACAAGATACCAGTGACTTTTTGTAAAAAGTTTTTTTTTTTTTTTTTTTTAATTGTGTTAATTTGTATATATTCTAATGTTAGATTGCATTTTTATTTTTTTTTAGCAGATACACACTTACGAGCCAGATAAATAGCTTTAAACGTTTTTTTGAACAGTCTAAGACTATTGCACAGTACTGTATAATTCTGTGATAATGATTTACTGACTGAGTGCACGTTCATAAAGTTTTTAAAATGCATTGATGGAACATTAAGTGCACCTTCGTATTAAGGTATACTTACATGCTGCTTATTAATGTTCGACGAATGCATTATAAATGTATTGTGAAAGTGCACTTTAAGTAAAGCATTACCATTTATTTCAAGCTAACATGAGATAAGTGAGTATGAATTTAGCATTTGTTTTTCATTAGCTTTAGTTAGCCTTAAATGAGCATGAGCCAAACTCCAGACATACCAAATGGCACTCTAATCCTTATCCCAGTACAGTGGGAGCCTACAAAGCCCCAGAGAACAGAAAGATTTATGGTCTTCATTGAAGTTTATGGATCTTACTGTACCACAAATCCTGATAATCTATGAAAAGTCACAGTTTGAAAAGGAATCTGTACCCACAGGTGTGATCCCAGGTGTTAATCAGCTGTTGAGAGTATCTTAAAACGACAGGAAGGAGACTAATCTGAGCAAACTCCGAGCATACTGTAAATGCTAAGAAGTCTGCATCACTGACATGAAGTTTTAAAGTTTGGAAGGACTGCTGCACCCAACAATTTTTCAATAAATCTGAAAGAACGAGCTACTTCCTCTACGCTTGACCTACCCGACTGTTTATTTAATGTGAATAAATCAGCTGCCTCAGTTTGCCAGGCACCTTCAGATCCTGGGAGGTAACAGACAGTGGCCAGACCACACAGGGCACCAGGCAGAGTGTTTCACTGCTTTTTTTAGACAAGCACTGGGAGCTGGGGCTGTGCTGGACCAGCACCCGCAGAAAATATTTTTTTATTTCACAGCCCATTGATTCAGCTAACAACTTCCCTTTGTTGTGAAATCCTGAATGTCAGACCAGCAAAACAATGCCCTGGAAGTGGCTCGAGCTCAGTAGCTGAGCCCAGCTGTCAGACACACGCTTCTTATTCAACACGTCTCACCCCTAAAGATGAACAAAAACACACAGCAAGGGCATGGGGTCTGCTATTAAAGAATGGTGGGGTATGGACTGAGCTGATACACTGGGTCATTCATCCTGTGAAGAATGGGCTGCAATGAAAAAGGCAGAAAAAGCAGATTTTTTCCTGGAGGCGGGCTGTGACATGGCCCTGGTTGTTTGGGCATGTTGTCTCCATTCTTTAGATTTAGAATAATTTCTCCTTGGTTCTGGCATCCTTGTCTCATCCAAATTCTAGCCGCCCTGCAGCCCCGTGGATGGTTCTCTCTCCCAGCCCTGCCATGTGACTGTCCGCCAGTGGCTGCCTGCCAGCTGAACTTCATGAATGTGACTCCCCACGGCAACCAATTTGTTCCCCTGACTCTCATTACCTCTCACTTGTTCAAAGGTAAACTGTACAGCATACAAACACAACTGCATGCCTTAAAATGGTCCTTAAAGGATAAATGACAATATTGCAAGGTTGAAATTGTTTTTGTATGCCATGCATAGGGACTGAGGCCAAACTACAATGACCAACTTAAGTTACTGCTCTTAAATAGCTATTTTGTGTGGTGAGTGTGAACTGTCCTCAGTGAAGACACATCTTTTAAGGAATACTTTTGAATGTCATTATAAATACATATTAGAGTCACTAGAGGGCAGTGTTGTCTCCTTTTTCCAACAATTATCACCTTGAAAGAGCAGCAAATGTTTTTTTATTCAGAATATGAAGAGCAAGATATCATTTAAGGTTTCTGTGACATAGCTAGTCGTCATTAGTCTAGTATTTCAAGGAACAAAGTGGTTTTCAGTTCAGCTGAAAAACGAGCAGGTTTACAGTCCAGCTACGAAAGAAGAGCTATACACCAGACAATTTTCCCACTCCCATCTCAGCCACTAGATGGCGAAGCCACAGATTGAGGTCATTATGGCATAACCTACCCAGAGGCCTCTCCCTGTCCACTGCCTGGATGTCCATCAGGCCCGGAAGGTTCCCCCTCACAATGATGCTGTTACCCCCTGTGGTTTTGTCAGCTCTCTGAATACTTCGGCTCTGCCAGTCAGTCCAATAGATGTGTGGGCCCAGGAGGGTGAGCCCATAGGGGTGCTGGACTGGAGACACCAGGGTCCGCCGGTTGGCCCCATTCAAGTCAGATGCCTCAATACGCTGTGGAATTATCACAAAGGAAAAGAAAGTTATTAACAGATCATAACTGATGATCTCAAATCCTTAGCATATAGACAGTCATAAACATGAATTCCTTGAAAATTAAACAAGGAAAAATCCCACAACAATCTGTCACAGTACAGTATCAACATTCTTATCAACAGAAAGTACTGAAGTGCTTCACTATAATATCCAATGGTAATATAATTCAACTAATCAGGCTTTTTCAGTTATGAACCTCAGATATTGGTGAGAATTCGAGAATTAGTCGGGAAAATAAGACACACCACTCACCTCAGTGTGAGCATCAGCCCAGAGTAGCTGAGATCCAGCCTTGTCAATCGCCAGACCATTTGGCCAGCCTAGGTTACTGTTGATCAAGACCACACGGTCAGACCCATCCATACCAGAGCGTTCCAGTTTAGCATTCTCTCCCCAGTCAGTCCAGTACATGTAGCTGAAAAAGAAAACAACAGTCTTGGTACAATAATCGAAATGCGCATCCAAATACATATTCTTTGGCAAATTTAAAGCCACACATCTCATAAGCATACAGATATCTTACCCCATTTCATGATAGAGAGCAATTGCTCGTGGGCTATCCAGGTTCTGCCAGATTAGAACTTTTCTCATGGATCCATTCAGATTAGCCACTTCAATGCGATTAGTTCCTGTGTCAGTCCAGTATATCTTCCGGCCCACGGAGTCCACCGCTAGTCCGTCTGTGGTCATCAGTCCTGGAACACAAGAGGCATTTAGAATACCCAAAAGGCTGCTTGAGACAACTGCACATTTAGCATGAACTCTGCAAACCAATCCTTTATAAACAAATGGTTAGGCATGGAATAAATCTGCTTATTATATGCTAAGCAATGTTGGAATTATTAAAGTTTCATAAACTAATGAAGGCATGACCTCACCGGTGGATATGATATCCTCACACTCTGTGCCATTGATGTTGGCTCTGCTGACCTTCTTTAGTGTGCTATCAGACCAATAGACTTTACCTGCATGGAAGTGGTGCAAAAAATATTATTTCATTTGCAATGTTAATTAAAATTAAGCTTTAATCGTTTTCTGATTGCTGTTGAATATTATGTAGTTTAATCTATCCTGACCTCATACCTTCTTTGGGATCTACACCAATGGCAATGGTGTTTTTCATGGACCCATTCACGGCCAGCACCACGTCCGCAAAGTAGGGAATATCTAAGGATACCATGCGGATGTCTGTCCTCCTCGCGAAGACCAGGAAGCTGTTCATTCCTTTAGTAAGCAAATGAAAATCAACTCTTAGATCAATTCAAATCCAGGAAATAAATTTAATAGCTAGGATTTCTGCAATGACTTTCAATGCAGAGGGCAGACACAGTGCCTTATCTCTGGCAAACAGACACAAGTCAGCGACATACAAAGGTGTCAACCTGTGAGCGTCTATAGTCACTTTAGTGAGGGATGAGAGGAAGTGAGGTCGCAGGCTGTTGCACTGCTATTCGGACAGCTGCAGCATGTCACAAGAAGCTTCTGGTGACTGCTCTGTCGTGGGGGAGGTGTGTGTGTGTGGGGGGAGGTTATGGATGGTGCTCAGGAAAGCACTCCAATTTCAAAGGGAAGCTCCTTTTCTTTATGGTGGGGGTCTGTTGCAGTCAGTGGGGCGCCAGCAGATTTGGGGGCTCCTCACCATGAGAGCAGGTCTTGCCGTCCACCTGGAGATTGATGCCTGTGGGACAAGCACAGCTAGAGCCCTTAGGGGCTGGGGCCAGGAGACAGAGGTGGCTGCAGCCTCCGTTGTTCACCATGCAGGGGGTCTGGACTGCAGGGGGAAGGAGAGCAGGATTCAGGGTAAGACTGTCATCAGCATTAGCTTTCCTATGAGGTGGATACCCCACATGACACATTTTAGAATGTGGTGCCATGTGTTGATGGACTACAGCTCAGCAATGAAAAGTCTATGTTTCAAGAACGTTCAAACCCAGGGGTGGTTACATCCCCTGGGAGCTGTGCCAGGAAAGCATGCGCCAGTACACTTCCAGCACGCTGACAGGCCGCCCTTTCTGTGACGGTGCCTTACATTAAACGCATTCCAGGGCCGTGGGTCAGTGGACATGGCGTATGTCACACGACCTTTCAAGGGGGTGGGCGGTGATCTTGTTACAAGAGCGGCACAATTCTGTACCAACAAGTGTCAGCAGTGATGAAATATACGCAGCTTACACAGGATACAATGGGTGGCATACTACAGGGATAACAGCCCTTTAGAGAGACCAATGTTTTCTACGGTCATAATATGCAGGAATGGAGTCTTTCTGAGCTTTTTTACCTCTTGATGAGTTTGGCAATCAGTCAGTTTTTAATATGAACAGAGCTGTATTGCTGCAGCAAAACTAAATTGTCTGCTGGTTTAAAATCTATTAAGGTGCCATAGGCTCATTGAAAAGACCACAATGTGCTTTGGCAATATCAAAGAGAACATGTACAACAATCAGTCTTTCTGAGGAAATGTATGAGAGATGATTGAATATTGAATATTATAACAGGAACAATAATGATGCTGAGTAACAAGGTCTAATAGTTTAAAATGAAACTTTATTCTCATCTCTCTCCAAATGGACACCTGCTTGTTTGCCAGTCAATCACTTACAGAACATAAGACTCAGTGAGGTTATGTGAGGGTCGGAGTCAGAACGTACCTACAGAACGTTGCCGGTGGAACATGTGGATGTCCATCAGGTTCTCCAAGTTTCTTGACAGTGTGATCCGGTCCAGCCCCGTGTGCTTGTTGGCACTCTGGATGCTTTTAGATTGCCAGTCTGTCCAGAAGATCCTGTCTTCATGAAGAGTCAGGCCAAACGGGTGCGGAAGTTGGCTACCAATCAACACCTGCAGAATGAGAATTTTATTAATTACCTGGCTGTTGATGAAATAACAGTAATTCAATCACAATGTAAAGGGGACTGTAAGTATTATATAAACCATATCAAACATCTATGACTGTGGCTTGCATTTAGTGCCATAAGGCTTTGTGTGGAATATCAGTTTTCAGGTTTCTCTTCTCCAGGAGGATCTTCCCTTACCCTTCTGTCTGAGCCATCAAAGTTGCCATACTCTATAGTTTTCATGCCAGCATCTGCCCAGTACAGCCTTTCTGTCTGGTAGTCGATGGCCAGGCCGTTAGGCCAGGTCAAGTTGGAGGAGATGATCACAATGCGGTTTGAGGCATCCATCCCAGCCCTCTCAATCTTAGGGCTCGCCCCCCAGTCTGTCCAGTACATATATCTGGGGAAGCCAGAGAAGCATAAACAAGTGCAGATTCTCTCTATAATCACCCTGATAATTCACATTGCGGAATACCACATGCATCTGCCTCCATCGCTCACCCTCCAACAGGATCCACCACAATGTCCCGCGGCCGGTCCAGGTTCTCCCAGATGAGTACGGTGCGCATGCTGCCATCAGCATTAGACACCTCAATCCGGTCAGTTCCTGTCATGAGATGGAAGTCAGGACACATAATGGCCACTATGCACAGGGAAATGTATAAATCACAGACAGGTACTGCAGACTGACATTGCAAATTAAAAAACAAAGAATAAACTGTTACCTGCATCAGTCCAGTACAGTTTGTTGGTCACCCAGTCAATAGCCAGACCAGCAGGACTTTCGAGACTGGTGTCTACAACTACCTGAAATTAGTTTGAATCAGAGAGTTAAAAACAACTCAGAGAAATGACACATTAGGATGAGTAGGACCTAACTTGGCATTCAGTAGAACTATTTTCATATCACATTACCGTTGTTGTGGATGTATTTTATTTTATGCAATCAAAAATGCTATTCTGAGAAGGGCAGGCATCATCAGATTTCCAAAGTGGTTCATAGCATAAAAAGGTTAAGAACTGCTGTTCTATAGTGGTCCAGAAATTGAAAATGTTGCCAGCAGATGGATAAAACAAGGTCAAAAATAACGACACATTACAGAGTTGGACCATGACAGCACGGACCTCCTGATTGGAGCCATTCCATCTGGCCCGGTTGATGGAGTCAGTAGTGATGTCAGTCCAGTAGATGTATTCTCCATGAGAGTCCCAGTCCAGTGCCACGGCGTTGCGGACATCTGCCAGTGGGATGACATCATCGGACTTGTCCTCTGTATCAAAACTGATTCGTCGGATGTCCGTCCTTCGGGCAAAAAGCAGGAACTTGTCAAGACCTGATCAAAGACCAAAGGTCTCTTGTCAGACTTCTAGGACAAACATCAGGTAATCACAACACACAAACATATTAAAAAATAACAAACAAAGCATGCCAAATCTACCCTATTGATTAGAAAATTAATTCTAATGATAATCACTATTCACTACCGAAAGTCTTTTAAAATGGTTTTGTAAAATGGCTATTATCTTTTAGCGTTTTTGTAGTGATATCCATGAGAATGACAGGTAAGTAGTATATACGCTGCATTCAGTATGAAGACCCCAGAATTGTGGAGCTCAATTAGCAGATGTATATTAAATACAATGATAATACAATATGCCAATCATTTGTATATCAAATACAATACTAACTCAGTATATACATGGGTAAATGGCAGTTCATCTTGTGACAGCAGGTCATAGCAGGTCTCCTTGCTCAGTGTGGATAAGGGCAATGGCCCCACTTACTCTCTGCACAGTTGTGGCTGTCCACTTTCTTAAAGCCAGTGGGGCAGGCACAGGTGTAGGTTTTGTTGCTGGGGAGACACAGGTGACTGCAGTCCCCATTGTTGCTGGCGCAGCGATTTCTGCCCCCTGGGAGACCAAAATAATCAGTGTAAGCAGACACATTATGGACAGGCACTAACAGGACACCTGTGGGAGTGTGAGATCAAGGCCCCCCACTGACCTGCAGGCTGCCTCTGGGGGTGCAGGGTGTGTATGTCCATGGGGAAGTGCAGCTTGCTGCGGATGATCTCCTGGTTTTTGCCAGTGAACTTGTTGGCACTGTTGATGCTCTTTGTGTGCCAGTCAGTCCAGTACAGGCTGTCCTCAAAGACGGTGATGGCGAAGGGGTGGGGCAACCCTATAACAACCCAAAAGACACCCAAAGATGGGGGGTGTTAAGGTGTTAGGAAGCTGTCACACCAGATCTGTCATCCACTGGGTAAGTGTCAATTAAAACATTCAGCTGCATACATTATCCTAAATGAGGAAATGATGCTCCTCTAATTATGCATTAATTTGGACCGTTATAGTAAGCTTGCTTTTCTTGGGAAAATAATAAGAGGCAAGACAGTTCAGAGTCACCAGTCAGAGGGATGATGAGTCCTTTGGCAGGTGTTGAGAAGCCCCCCGGTCCTTCCTAACTGAAGCTGCCGTGTGTCTGGATCTGCTCCTAATTATTCTCTCCAGTGCATGTCCCAGTGTATTTACCACAGTTTTGATTTCAGATGATGACTCCATTACAGTAAAACCTTGGATTGCGAGTAACTTGGTCTGCAAGTGTTTTGCAAGACGAGCAAAATTTTAAAATTAATTTTAACTTGATAAACGAGCGAGGTCTTGCAATACGAGTATTACATATACGCTTTGTCTGCCTAGCGTCACGTAATCACAACTGAGCCGATGGTTCTTCTCTCTCTTTCTCGCTGCGGGATTGTGGGCAATCGTTTCCCATGCTCGGTCTTAGGCGGCGTGCCTCAAAATTTAGTAGAAAAGCATCACCTTAATAAGGGCGTAGCAGTGCGAGCGATTAATCTGTTTAACGACAATTTCCGCAAAATTGAAAAAGACGCAAAAGCGGCTGTCATTGGATAGGGCATTGTGGAGTGGCAGGTAAAAAAGTGCACTGTGTTCCCATTCACATGAGGACTAAGGTCCAAATGACACCTTCACCACATGAATGGAAATCAAAACCACCAAAAAAAAAAAAAAAAAAGACCCTTTCTCGACCTGAAGAGTGGTAATCGACAGCAGCTTGTTTAATGATTGGACTGTGAGGGTAGGCAATGCATCACCAGATGGAGCGGCCTTTTCACCTTATGAGCAGGCAGTAATCCTGAATCATGCCTTTTCTCTCTTTTATCGCCCCTGCCTGTCTCCCTGTCGGGAGATTTGCCTGCTATCATCAATCCATGTTCCCAGGTCACCTCAACTTCCTAAACATCTCCAGTGCCTCCCTCAGGGCACGAGCGCACAGTGTTTGCCAGGTGCCAACACGCTGCTTCCTGCTGGGACAACAGCTGTTGCAGCTGGGGGCTGTTTTACATGGGGGTCCTTTGTCCATGTGCAGTACAGAACAGCTCTGCAGGCGCACAGGTGTGTGCCGGGATCAGGGCAGTCACTCGCTGACACTGCCAGGGCTGCCCTGCCGGCTGGCGCAGCTCCAGGAGCCGTCACGGGCAGGTGCCCAGTTCCACACGTCCCGCTTGTTTAGCCTGCTGTCTGAGTAAACAGTGGGGCTCCCTGAGAGAGACGCTATCACAGGCCTCACAATACTCATTATTCAAGCTCCCCTTATGGGAGCGGCCAGTCATTCCCCCACTGAGGGTCACTGCACACAAAAAATATTACTGTGGGGTCATTTCATTTTAATTTTCCAAAAGAGTTTTGGTGTCACTGTTTTATTTTGATAAAATTTGATTCACAAATACCTTCCAAAGCTCAGAAACTGTTTTTTATCTTAAAAAACCCTTTAAGACAAACTTTCACTTAAAAAAAAAAAAAACTTACATACCATGAAAAAGTACTCCATTTGAACTTTGCAACAAGCTACTGCTGAGTCATGCAGCTGCAATAGTAAAAAAAAAAAGTTACAGCTCATAAGAAAACACTCAATTATCATTTCTTTGCTACCTTGGGTGTAGAAAAGGCGCTATATCTCAAAGGGAAATTAATAAAAAAATAAAAAACATTTCTCATCTTTGGAAGGCATGTGTAATTTGCATGACAAAAACTGTGATGCAAAGGCCACTTGTTAACAGTTGTAGTATTTCCACCATACTGCAAATATGTTTTGCTAAACATTCAGGACTGGCCCAGGGGCCAGTATCACAAAGCCAGATTTCTTACTTAGCCGGGTAACTTTGAGGATAAGTAGCGGTAAACCAATAAGACTGTCATCTCCCATTCCATTTGAAAGCCTGTTGTACTTGCATTTGGTGGATTGGTGTTATAACTGCAGATTTGCCAGGTAGTAAAAAAAGAAAGCTACCCTGCAGAGGAAATGGATCTGCTCATGCGCGAAGTGAAAGCACGCAAGCAGACCATCTACAGCAACAGCAGCAGGATGTCACTAAAGTAGAAATCTGCATTCCTGCGGGACCAAAGGCAATAGAGTGTGGCACAGGACTATGTTTCATTTCTGCGGGAGCGGGTGGAAAGTGACTGATATGTTTGTGGGAGCGGGAGAAGAATTAAAATAAATAAATAGTGCTGAAATATGTTTTTTACTATTTTATGTAACTATTAATTGATTGTGAGTAAATAGAAAGTTCCATTAAATTTTATACATAATAAAAGAAAAGTAGGCTACTACGCCTAATTTGGTTTTGAAACATCCAATGATGTAAGTACCTACTTAAGAAAATATACAAAGAAATAAATAAAAGAAATAAAACTATATAAGTACCTAATAAGCAAGAGGATAAGATATTTGGCAGTCCTTGTCATTGTAAACAACCATAATGGGAATCAATTGCCTTTGCATGTTTTGACAAATGCAACAAAGTGCTATCATACACTAGGCACTATTCCGGCACTTCAGGGCCAGGTGTTTCAAAGGGCCAGACTACACTGACATGCACTGCAAGTGCAAGCAAATCAAAAGTAACAACTTCACTAAACACTGAAACAAAACAAAAATGTGTGGATATTGTTTGTGCAGATCTACAACCAGTTACTGCAAACGTTGATGCAGGTGAAATACGCCTATATGCATTATTAGCCCACTATGGCCTGTTTTAACTGTAAAATGATGAAAGTAACCTATATGTTGAGGCTACAGGTTTGTTTTCTCTTACCTGAAAATAAGCACAGTCAAATGAAACATATTTCTCCTTTGCGGGTAGGAATGGGAGGAGACTTATAAGATGCGGGCGGAAGCAAGACAAAATATAATGTAAATACGTAAATGACATGCAGTTCTGCTGGCTGAAGATCCTGGGACTAACCATTATAACATAGATTTCTAAAAATATTTTGAGTGACACATTAATGATCTTCAAAATTGTAATATTTGTAATTTTAATATGTTTGTGCACTGCTACACACCCCTTTGTGTATAACAGCAGTGTACAGGTGCTGTGCACACACCTATGTAGGCACCAGTGTTAATTTTGACGGCTAATTTTTATTTAGTTAATTGATTAAGTCGACTAAAATTAAAAGTGCAAAGTGTAATGCTTAAAGTTTTCCTTCGATTTCTGAAAGTCATTATGTTTACCAACATGAAATGAAACCAATGTTAAGGAATGGTGTTAAGGTCTGACTGTGCAGTACACAAAGACTCAAAATGAAAAAATAAATAAATATGTGTGTGTATGTATAATATATATATATATATATATATATATA